GGTGCTTGTGGTCGGGTTCCCGGCCGGCTTGTCTCCCACTTCTTTTCATTTGTCTCCCAGTTCTTTTCATTTGTCTCCCAGGCTGGGTGCTTGTGGTCGGCTGGCTTGTCTCCCTCGTCCTTTCATTTGTCTCCCACTTCTTTTCATTTGTCTCCCAAGCTGGGTGCTTGTGGTTGTAGTCGGGTTTCCGGCCGGCTTGTCTCCCACTTCCTTGCATTTGTCTCCCACTTTTCCCCCAAACAGTTTGCTGTGGGGTTCTCAATTCTTTCTTAAGATGTCCTTTGTGTCACTGCTGGTGTCCGCCCATTTCCACTGGCCATGTAGCATTTCTATTCGTTTGTCTCCCAGGTCTGTCACTGCTGGTGTCCGCCCTTTTCTGCTGGCCATGTAGCATTTCTATTCATTTGTCTCCCAGGTCTGTCATTGGTGATGCCCGCCCTTTTCCGTTGGCCATGCAACATTTCTATACATTTGTCTCCGAGGTCTGTTGCAGCATTTCTATTCATTTGTCTCCCAGGCCTGTCACTGGTGGTGTCCACCCCTTTCTGCTGGCCATGTAGCATTTCTATTCATTTGTCTCCCAGGTCTATCGCTGGCGTTGTCCGCCCTTTTCCGCTGGCGATGCAACATTTCTATTCGTTTGTCTCCCAGGTCTGTCACTGGTGGTGTCAATCGTTTCCGCTGCTTCTATTCATTTGTCTCCCATGTCTGTCACTGCTAGTGTCCGCCCTTTTCCGCTGTCCACGCAGCATTTCTTTTCAATTGTCCCCCAGGCTTGTCACTGGTGGTGTCCGCCCTTTTCCGCTGTTTCTATTCATTTGTCTCCCAGGTCTGTCACTGCTCGTTTCTACCCTTTTCCGTTGGCCATGTAGCATTTCTATTCATTTGTCTCCCAGGTCAGCATTTCTATTCATTTGTCTCCCAGGTCTGTCACTGCTGGTGTCTGCCCTTTTCCGCTGGCGATGCAACATTTCTATTTATTTGTCTCCCATGTTTGTCACTTGCGGTGTCCGCCCTTTTCCGCTGGCGATGCAACATTTCTATTGATTTGCTTCAGGTTTGTCACTGCTGGTGTCCGCCCTTTTCCGCCGACAATGCAGCGTTTCTATTCATTTGTCTCCCAGGTCTGTCACTGCTGGTGTCCGCCCTTTTCCGTCCGCCATGCAGCATTTCTATTCATTAGTCTCCCAGGTCTGTCACTGCTGGTGTCCGCCCTTTCCGCTGGCCATGTAGCACTTCTATTCATTTGTTTTCCAGGTCTGTCACTGCTGGTGTCCGCCCTTTTCCGCTGGCCATGCAGCATTTCTATTCATTTGTTTCCCGGGTCTGTCACTGGTGCTGCCGCCCTTTTCCGCGGGCCATGTAGCATTTGCATTCACTTGTCTCCCATGTGATTTCTTTCTTTTTGTCTTTCAGGTTTGGTGCCTGCACTGCTGTTTTCTGTCCTGTCCGCTGGAACAGGTTCACCTGTGAAAGGTTCTTGCTCCTTTGAAAGGGGTGCGTGACTGTCTCCGGGATTGCATTCCTGCCACACCGTGTAACTGTCTTAGCTTTGTTTTCCTTTTCGGGCAAGCGTTGGATGAATGACCGGATTGGACTGCGGCGGCATGGCAGCGATCTCTCTGTTCAGTTGGGACGGAGGGCATGCGTCAGGCACCAAAAATCAATTTCATGTCACATCCTTCGCTCCTCATGCTTTTAATTCTTGTCCTCACGTGGTCAGCTCATCGCTGATTGAGCAGCATGACCAGCATCATGTTCGCACTTGAAGAATAATTCCCCAAAAGGTTTACTGTTAGGGCTGCCCCATTCTTTCTTAAGATGTGTCCGCCGCTCTGTACTGCTGTGTCCGTCTCTGCCTTGCAATCCTTTACATTTGTCTCCCAGCTCTGGGCTGCTGTGGGCGCCTCTGCCTTGCAATCCTTTGTCTCCCAGCTCTGGACGTCGCAAGCTCTAGTTTCGATATTGAAAAACACAAACTGTTTGGGGTCTACGGTGGTGTAATTTTTGCATTAAACATTTGAGTAACACAAAGACCGGAGAGCAAGATTCAAATCTATGTTGACCCGAATTGACCTAGAAGCCGATTCGATTTGTGGTTCGACTGCATGGCCGCACAAAACACCGCACAAAACCCTTCACACGTGGCCCAGACTGCCTCTTTGGTCGTTTGACCGGTGACCTTGGGAAGGCTTGGAGTTGGTGGGGCGGATGGTGGGTTTACCGGAGGTGGGCGCTGGTATCTGCCACTATCATTGCTGTGCGCATGTAGACCAAACAAAATGGGTGAACGTCGGTTGATCGAATCAATCGGACAAGCAGATTGATGCCGAAGGCCGCCAACTTGTTGGAGAATGTCTCTAAGCCTATGCCATTCAAGTTGACACTCTCAGTGTGTCCCGGCTAGCTGTGTCTACTACACCACACTTTGCTTCAAGCCGTGCATGTTCTGGTCGAGCCGATGCAAAAGGATGGACCACCAAATCTAAAAGCACTTGCAGGCCTGACAATTCTTGGCAGGCAACAGTTGGCAGGCACTATTGCGGGCATGTTGCTGCCCACCACGGCCAACCATCCTTTTTGGTGCGCGTTTCCCTTTCGTTGTGATGAGGAAGTCCTCCAAACAACCCAGATGGCAACTAGCCGGCACACAACGTTTTGCCATCAATCTTCTGCCACCCACCCACTCTGCTTGGACCGCCCGGCGGCGACTTCAGGGGTATGTCAGAGATGGCCTCCTGGTCAGATGGTTCGCTGTGCCAACCACAAAGCTGGTGCACTGAAACAACGCACAGGATCAAAACCTGAACAATCCCGTGACCCGGTCGGATGATCTAAACTGCGGGATGTGCAAGTGACAAACTTTCCAACCCAGCCAGCTGATCCAGTACTAGCAGGCACACACACTCCTAGCATACATCCAAACAGGTAAAGTCTAAAGTGTGGGCCTCTCCTCCATCTAGGTGTAACGGTGTAATCAGTGCAATTGCTGACGCTATGCCGCTATGCTGACCCTAAATCTGCAATGCTGACTGCTTCGGTCACTGCTTTCATGGCGGAAAGCATCCCCCATAACGGTTGACCCCGAGCATGCAAGCAACATTTGGCACAAACGGCTAATTGTATCTGACAACTGTCTGTGGCCATTGGCCCAAATCCCACCACCCACACACATGCTGTGACGGTTTGTCTGAGAATGTGGAGGCCACCCATTCATTTTTGGACTCCAAGCTCCGTCACTTCTTGGCATCCCCTTTCCTGAAACACACCGATAATAGAGCATCCATTGCTCCAAAGCCCCAAACCCTGAAGCCACAGCCTCTGCCTCTACTTCCCATGCTTTTCGTGCTTGCAATGCAATGACTTGACTCAGGTTCAGCTGCGCGGCCTGCAATGGAGTGCCCCTAATGTCAAGGAAACATTGCCAACGTTCAATAGCCCATAATATCCACCAAACGGATTCCATGTCAAAGCACAAATTACCATATAAACCTCCAAAGACATCTCCGGGCCGCGCTTTTGGACCTACACTCAGATGATGAAACACGATTCACTGAGACTTCTCGTGGGGGTTGTTGTTCTTGCGCTTGTTTTGGTCCATGTTGTTTCTCGTGCGCTTCTCAACTCCAAGCGCTTAAGCGCCGAAACATTTGGTAGAGATGTGCCAATCACTCTCTATGCCCTCTCTCTGATTTTGACACCTGGTCCTCATCCCGCACCACACTCTGTGCCTGGGCACTCTCAAGCGCATCTAGAACGTTCAAGGCAGAAACTCGACAGTATGGATCTACAATCCACTACAGGCCTCCTCCAAGATTCATACCCTCTCTTGCTCTTGATTCTTGATCAACCGCCGCAAGTTGTGGGACAGTCACATGTGGCATGTACTCCTACGCTTCCAAAAACAGTTAAAAGAAGCAAGCGGACTGGCAACCAAGACCTCTGCAGCCAACTTGGCAGCTGTTTTCGATGCCAATTGGATTTGCAAAAGGCTTCCTGCAAACAGAAGTCATGCAACAAGACAGCCTGACAGGCTAGAGAGGTTCTTTGGAGGTTGACTTATAAGTGACCCAACTTCACAAGTCCATCTTCACAAGTCTGGACTCCATCTGCACCAGTCTGGACCACTTGGAAATCTGCCCTTGGAGCTTGGATGTAGCAAGTCTTTCAGAGCCAACCTCGAAGGCTTTCTACTTCCTGTTCTTCGAAGGCCACTGAGTGATTGAGCCTCAGTGCGGTGCTGGTGACCAAGTCCCCTCCCTAGTCCTCTTCGGTGCTTTCTTTGGGTGGTCGCCGAAGACACCGAAGTCACACGCGGCCACGCCACCGACGTTCAACGGCCGACCGAGTCGCCAGAACCCATCGCCTTACATCGACGAAAGGTGGCCGAGTGGCTCGGTGAGCTCCTGGTGGACCCCTTCGGCATTGAAGGATGAAGAGCCCGCGAAGTGCGCGAAATCCTTGGCATCTGCGGCGAACGCGCGCGGGAGCTGCAGAATACTGTCACACGCGCATGCATATACTATTACATGTGTAAATAAGACATAAACACACACACACACATATATATATATATATAATGATCTGGAAGCTCGATCATCCCAAAATCTCGTAAAATCTCCGGGTGGTATCCAAACATTCAAGAGCATGGACTATTTTGTTCATTCTTCACTTGCACATGGGAGGTTCACAGCCATTTTCCCCAAAACCAAATCCATCTTCATGTCATTGCACTCCAAAGCTCCCAGTAGTTCTCGGCCAAGGCCGCGTTTTCACAGCTGGCCGCCTTCTCCTGGAGCTCCAAGCGGTTCCCTTCGGCTTCCAGCCGCTTCAGCGCCTCCGACAGCTCGCGACCCTGGTGACGCTGCTGGATCATGAGCTCCGTTAATCGGTGGATCTCCTGCTTCTCGCGCGTCACCGTCTCCTCCTCAGGATGGGAGCTTTGGAAGAAGGGGGTGAAGGGATGTCATGGGTAGATGGGGGAGATAAAGATGGCTAGGAGCTTGTGCATGGGTTCGCCTTAGCAAAAGCTTAGCAAGATCTCCGGGAGGATTTGGGCATCACTTCTAGGAGCTTGACATCACGACTGTGGTTCCTCAGGATGGTAGCCAAGGGGTGATGAAACATCCGTCAACCCGCCCTGAAGGAAAACCATCTCAAGGCCAAAAAGGGTTAGTGGTTGAGGGGAGCCCGATTAGAGTCGGAAGGCCATCAAGGTGGACCGGAAAGATGCTTTTCCAAGGCCAGGGCCTAGCAACCTTACACACTCAGGTCACGGGGGTACCTGACCTAGGCCCCCAAACCAGACTGATCAGGACAGCCTGATGGTCTTGATTGAGTTTGAAGATGCTTCCTGACCATCACTCAGTGAGAAAATAGACCAAAAAGGCCGCTCAAATACACCTCAAAGTCTCAGACTTTGCCAAGGATTCCCTCAAGCTTGAAATATGCCAATGCCAATATGCAAGTTGGTCATGAAACTTGCCCTCGCCGTCACCACCGTTGCTCTTGATGGACTGAACCTCTTTCCTCGCTTCTCGGTGTTGGACGCGCAAGTCTTGCACCCTCTCGCCCATGTCGGGTGCGCTCGCACTTGTGGTCGCGGGAGGATCGGAAGGTCTGGAAAACTGTGTGTGGGTGGTCCAGTGGTGTGACGAGCGAGCGTGCTTCACAGCCTCCAGCTTTGACTGGACTGAAGTCACAGCAGCCTTCTTCTCATGAAGTGATGACCGCAGCTCTTCCAGCTCCTTTGTATTCTCTTCCTTTGGTGCAGGCATGACAACATGTCCTGCACCTGCCCGAGCTTGCTCAGTCTCTGAAGCCATCTGGTCATGGACCGGCTGAGCTGCCATGTGCGCGGCATGCGCCAATGCGGGCTCATGGGGATCCACATCTTCTTCCTCTTCCTCTTCCTCTTCCTCCTCCTCTTCTTCCTCTTCTTCCTCTGAGCTTGTTGAGTTGAGCGGTCAAAGGACGTGAAAACTCTTAACGTAGATTTGATGGAGATGTCCAGCCATATAAATGATGCAATGCTAAATATGTGTTTTTTAGTTATATATAAAGGAACTGTCATGCATCCAGCATGTCAGTCCTCTTCTTCCTCCTCTTCCTCATCCTCCTCTTCAACACCTTTAACTACCTTCTTTTCGTGAGCTTGCTGGTGATGAGAAGCCTTTCCACTCTCATGGTGGCTTGGAACAGTGCTTGGTTTTTCATGGTGTTTGGAGCTAGCCCCTTCTGCAGCCTCGTCCACCTCATCATCTTCCTCTTCTTCCTCCTCCGAATCCACAAGCCACAAACTCTACCAACACCAAACCAACGTGACACATGGTGCATGTGTAGAACAAAGTTCGGCTTTTCCTACCTCTTCCTCTTCCTCTTCCTCTTCTTCCTCTTCCATATTCCATTCTGCAGCACCTGCTTGCCCCTTGGCCACCGAAATATTCCAGAAACACATTCTGAGCATTCTTGTTGACACTCTTGGTTTTGGTAGGTCTTGGAACTCCACACGCGCCCTGATACCCGCGCCCCGAGCTCCCGGACGCTGGAGCTGCGGGGCGGTGCGTGCGATGCGTTCGAGGAGGGCGGCGGATGTTGGGCCTGAAGGCATCCACTGAAGGATACATCGACCGCGCATCTTCCTGTTCCTTTCCCACAGAATCCAAGCTGGTACTTACGACCCCTTGGTCGTGCGTTTCGCCATGCGTTTCAACCAAAGGATTTATATTGAAAAAGGAACATGCTTTCGGAGAACAGCATGCGCCTCAAAGAACGACAAAAGCAAAAACATCAGAATTACATTAATCAGGAAGTGCATGGAGTGGCCTTGTAGACTCCTTGTAGTGCTGAAATGTGAGGTGACTTTGTTAGCCACCGGCCACCGCAGCATCTCCGCTTCGTGCTTGAAACCATTTGGGTCGTCGTCCATGCATTGAGTGTGATTAGGCGTGTGTCGGGTGTGATTGGGGGCCTTGGGCTTGAAACACAAATCCATTGTATTCCGATTGGGCACGTCATCAAAGCATATCAAGCGAGTTGCTTCGAACCTGGTTTCAACACAGCTGGCGCCAGAAACATGAGTCTTTTTGCGCAGCAATCTCGAGCATGAACTCCGCCACAACTTCTAACTGGGTGGCCCCATAAAGCCACCCTGCACCCCCGAAAAGAACCACTACGAAGTGATGGTATCTAAACTTGCATGTTGCCTGTGGACCTCCAGGACAACTCCCTCTGTCCCTGTTCAGAGCTTTTCACCTCAAGGAGACCGACCTCGTTTCGTCCAACCCAATTCGCAGCCTGGGCTTCAGCTGAAGATGGGTTCGACCTCAGGAGCTCCAGACAACGACATGAGAACTCGGACCACCGAGTTGGCGGATCGAAGAACATAAGAACTCAAATGAAACCCAAGGTGTTGAGCTAGATGATGTTAGAATATGTTAGATGTCTTCATCTTCATCCTTCATCATCTTAGATCTACCAAAAAAACATCCACCAGGGTTCTGGCGGAATGGATCACTTTACATCGTTTTACTACATTGCTCCTCTTCCAAAAACACTTCTTTCGCCGCACATGATGCACTCTCCATCGCGCGCGCCGAAACGCGCGCGCGCCGCGTGTCTGGCTTCGGTGGGTCTGGACGCTTCACCTCGGCCGCCATGTGATTCCGGTGCCCTTCGGTGTTTGAAAAAACCACCGGTGGTTTCTCCGGAAAAAAGGATGCCGCTCTGCGGGCTCCATTCCATGCGGCTTCTTTTCTCACTGGAGAAGCGGGGCAGAACACTTGTGTGTGTGGTCCTTGAATGGTGAAAAGGTGGAGCTCCCCCCCAAAAAGAGACTCATCGACTTTCCATCGGCCCGTTTTCGATAGCTTTTGGCCTTTCTCGTGGTCTTGAAGGGGAGGCTCCCGCCCGCCTAGCACCCGGAGACACGCTCACTATCACTTGGACATCTTGAAACTGAACCCCAACATACCCCAACGCATGCCGTCTTCCGGTACCCGGCGACTGTTCTTGGAGGCTTTTCCTCTCATTTTTGTTGGAGGCACTGTCTGCGTTCGACAGGGGATCAACTGCTTCACTCACCGGACGAAGAGTGTTTGAAACTCTTTTCTGTTGACCTCAGTTCTGTTGACCTAAAGATGATCAAAGTGCCCACGAATCGTTTCAACAAGCGAAAGAAAACGCACTCTCGTCTCCGGCGAAGTGATGTATTTGTCAAACTGAGGTCTGGTCAATGTATTTGTCAAAGAAGTTCGAGAACATAGCTCCATGGGGCGAAGTCTGAGGCTTTCCGCTGAGCCTATGAACCGCCCGGTTCGATGTCTGCCCGTTGACGTTTCACGCATTGAACTGTCGAACCGTGGAAACACACCGCGGAGATGTCAAAAACCATGTCGCCCACCGTTCTCACTTCTGCAAAGCAGTCAGACGAGTGATTCAGTGATTCATAGTGATAGCTATGACGCCTTGGGTGACACATAGTGTTTCCGCCAATTCCTTGAAGGTGTTGTAAGAACCTCCCCTCTTGCGATCTGCTAAGGACCTCTCTGGAGCCGAAACAGTGCCATTTTTGGAGGGAAGACTCCTCAACGCGAAAGCCAACAAAGCAGCCGGCTCCAAACGTCAGCTCCGAACTTTTCTCTTTTTGATCCAGCTGTTTGGCCGAACTCTCTCCCTGCAAGTGAAACCGCCGAACTCTCTCTCCTCGCAAGTTCAGAAACGCGACCACTTCTAAAGGCTGTAGCGGGTGTCCGAGGGGTGGCATGAGCAAAGCTTGGTCAAGAAGTCGAACTCAAAGGTCCCATCGGAGGGGCCGCTGCCGCTGCCTTTGGTCCGAAGGAAGGGCTTTTCCATGACCAAGTTGCGGGACATCGACCTGCGTGGTGGCGAGCATCGGTTTGAACGTCAAGTCATTTTGTAGATAGAAAATGGGGAAAAAACACATTGCACCATCCAACACCAATGGACAACTGATCATGTTTTTGGATGGTATCATGTGTGCAATCACAAAATTACTTTTTTACGGGAACATCTATATGGCATATTATAGAATCTTCTACTTGTTTACCTGCAGCCACCAGAAGGGTTCGATTGCTACGTCTTAGTGAGGCAGCCAACTCACATTCCGTTTGGGTCAACGTCTGCTTTCCTACGCTCTTGCAATTTAATATTTGCTCAATCCGTGCACCTCCAAAACTATGTAGAATGGATGGTTTATTCATCATTCTTCATCTACCACTTAGAAGAGAGGCTAGACTCAGCCTGGCTCCCTTCATCTATACTATACTTGTCAGGTCTCTCGGCTCAAATCCTTTCGAACCAAGAGTTGTGAAATGTTTCTGCTTGACCCGTCCTCACCTGGTCGGAGAGTGGGGATTCATCTCCACCAACACCAGCAAAGCGGTCATGTTGTCGCCCCCGAGGCCGCCCGTCTTCATCAAATCGGGTGAGAAGCACTCGTCCAGGAGATCTTCCATGATCTGCGATAAAGAAGTCTCGCCTCCCAGGGATGCAAAGGCCGATTCTGCTTACCAAGGCCCATTCTCTTGGTTCATTCCCCGGGTCTTCTCCCATGGTCCATCATCCAAGGGCAGTGTCTTCAAAATTTTTCAATATTGTTCCCTTTCCCCATGTCTGATGGCAAGAGTTTCGGAGGCCTCTTTTTACCTAGGACGTGTGAAATAACATGACGTGCTCAAAACGAGTCTCCATCCTTCCTAAAACGAATTTATATAACACCCCCAAATGAAGGAGCACATCCTTCATCATCCTTCCATCTCCCTCATCCATGTTTCTAGAACAATTGGTAAACTATGGTAAGCTTATTTTCCCCTGCAATTACCTGCGATCCCACATCCTCCATCACCCTCCCATATTCTGAAACCTATGAGCGTAAGTCTTCCAAAGAGAAAAGCACCAGTCCCCGCTCCTTCTTCTTCCCCAGATAGCGAAGCTATGGGGTTCTTACTTCAAATAGCGATGAGTTGCCCGTGCGCGCTTTCGAGACAGGTTGCTGCTGGTGCTGGGTGCTGGGTGCCGGGTGCCGGTGTTGGTGCTGGTGCTGTGAGCTGGCTGTGCACGTGGTGGAGACAGGTTGCTGGTGCTGGTGCTGGTGCCGGGTGCCGGTGCACGTGGTGGAGACAGGTTGCTGGTGCTGGTGCTGGGTGCCGGGTGCCGGGTGCCGGTGCTGTGAGCTGGCTGTGCACGTGGTGGAGGCAGGTTGCTGGTGCTGGGCGGTGCCGGATGCCAATCCTGGTGCTGGGTGCCGGTGCATGCCGGTGCTGGTGCTGGTGCTGTGAGCTGCCTGTGCCGGCGCTGGTGCTGCTGGCTGTGCGCGTTGGAGACAATGCCGGTGCCGGGTGCTGGCAGCGCGCGTGGTAGAGACAGCGGTCGCCGGTGCCGGTGCTGTGAGCTGGCAGTGCGCGTGGTGGAGACTGGGCGCCGGTGCTGGGTGCTGGCTGTGCGTGTGGTGGAGCCAGGGTGCCGGGTGCTGGTGCCGGGTGCCGTGAGCTGGCGTGCCGGTGCTCGGTGCTGGTACCCGCTTCTGACAGTGAAGTGATAACAACCGCCTGCTGACAGTGAAGGGTAACAAACCGCCGCTTGCAGCAGTGAAGGGCGACCAAGCGCCGCTTCTGACAATGAAGTGCCAGCAGTCATGGGCCGCATGAACTTCTGCACGCAACATCATCATACGGTGTTGTCGCTTGAGCGTTCTTTGTCTATTAGCGCTGTGGGGTATTTACACTCTTCAGGTTCTGTTTTGGCCGACAGCTGTGTCAAGGGCTGTAGTGTTTGCGCCCATACTTACTTTGTACGTACAATGTTCTATGCGCAACGTCAGGCTCTCAACCGACCATTGTTTCAGAATGCTACATGCACATACATACACAATATACACAATACTGCTTGACCTTGGGCGAGTGAAGCCTACGGGCTTCGCCGCTTGTGCGCATACTTTTGTGCGCGTAAACGTTGCTTCAAGCGTGCTACAAAGTCAATAGTGGCGCTGGATACTGCTTGGCCTTGGGCCAATGACTCTTACGGGCTTTGCTGCTTGCGCGCGTACTTTTGTGCGCATAAACTTACACGCGCAAGATCATACGCTGTTATTCATGTTATTCCCCAAATAGGGGCGGTGCTGGTGCTGGTGTTGTGGTCCTGGGTAATGGTGCTGTGAGCTGGCTGAGCGCGCGTTTAGAACGGGCGGCGGCGCTGGTCGGGTGCTGCCGCCGCTGCCGGTGTTATCAGCTGGCAAAGCGCACCTGGTGTCAGCTAATTGTGCGCGCTGTGGAGGTGCCGTAAGCCGGCTGTGCAGGCTGCGTACATTTTTGTTCCAGCCAGTCGCATGTCAACAGGTCTAGTGTATGCTGGTGTAGTTTCCACACCCGGCCCGGCCCCCCGGCTCTCTCACCCACTCTCTTTCACGTCTGACGTCCTGGACCCTGACCCTTCTGACCCCGGCCTCCTTCTTGCAGCTTTCTTCTCACAAAGTCCACGGCTTCCTGGCTCCCGATCCGGTCCCAGATCCCATCGCTGGCGATCAGCACAAATTCGTCTGCCGCGTCCCGTCGGTGTTCGAGCACATCCGGCACCTCGGGAGACACGGAGACGCCTCGACGCCCGCGCGGAGACGGACAGCCGTAGAAGGACGAGCTCCGAAAATCGGAGAACTCACCGAGGGTCGCGGGTGGGTTTTGGGATGGAAAAACGAGGTGCACACTGTGCACACCTGCCGTTTTCATCCCAATCCACCTCTTTTTGTTGAGTTCCGTGGGGAAGACTCCTCCTCCAAAAAGGGAGGCCTGCAATCCACTGACTCGTTGCCGGAAGGAGACCCTCATACCTGGTGTAAAAGATGATGTCAGTTCATGAGAAGGGTTAGTATGGGTTAGTTGGGAAGGTGTGAAAGGCTCAATTTTCCATCGTTATCATCGTTGGTGGGGCCTGTGCCTTGTCCTTTGATGGTTTAACGGTTAACGCAACATGTTTTACCCACACCGCGGGGCAGGGAAATGCTCCAGAACATGGACAACCCATCCCAGGAAACAAATTTTTGAGCAGGGGCGTCCCGTCCGTTGTCTTTTGATGTACTCTTGGATTGTATTATATATATATATATATTCAGTCGATTCCAAGCCTAATTGCGGAAAACAACGGAAACCAAAGAAAACACTACAACGAAGTCATCTGCTGAATTGCGCACATGGCACGGAAGAAATGATTTGTTCACCTGGTGGCAGCTGTAGATCATTCTTGTAATCCAGGTCGCCAATGCTTCTCGACAGATTCAGATTTCCATTGATTCGGAAGGTGGTCAATGGACCAGCTTGTTGCTGCTCAACAACCCCTCCCGCCCGTTCAATGCGCTCGCGCTCGCGAGGGAGATTGGGCTTGTGGTCCTCCGACAGTGGCACTGCCTGGCCCCTCTGAGACAAGACCACTCGGCTATCGCCCACGTTGGCGACCAGAATGGACTCCACTTGAACCAGGCAAATGGCAGCTGTGCAGCCCACACGTCGGGCCCCCCATGCAGCCAGCGGATTGTCCCGTGTCCGATCGACCAAGGATTGCAAATAGTCGGATTCCTCTTCACTGCGTAGCAGGCCATCCATACTCTCAACTGCACGTTCCAGGGAAGTCCTCACTGCATACTCTCAAATCGGTAGTGTGTGGGGTGTGTGGGTCAGCTTTTGAAAGGACACGGAGACCAACAAAGAACACCTGCATATCACCCAATCAGCCTAAAACCTTGACTATAAATCTCAACACGCTGCCTAGCAAAACCCCTTCAATGCAGCAAAGCAAATCATGCAAAACAGCAGTTCGGTTTTGCCGCCTGCACCTCTGCATGCTTCTGTCTCTCTACACCTCTCCGTGCGGCTTTTCTGCTTCAAATGACAATCAAATCGCAAGGTGTTCTGCCTTTCCCCCTGGAACCCTCCGTCCTGGGCTCAAGCCGTTCCCCCTGAGAAATGGCCATAGGCAGCCGACGCTGACAAAAGCGCGCGACCTGCCAAAAGCAGGTTGGGGTTTTGGACCCTGATCGTCCTGATCAAGAGTCCAAAACCATATACGGAGACACACCAAACCTTTCAAACACTGCACTGCGTGGGAAAGCTGTAAATATCAAGTGTTGGATGGGTGCGAGGGAGCTCTTGCCCAGTAGACACCTCTTCCCTGCCCTGCCTTGCTCTCAGAAAAGCTTACATAATTAGGTGGACACAGATTTTCCAGCTCCACAGGTTTTGCTCGTCTTCCACTCCCAAGCGGAGTCGTCACGGCACACGCGCCCCGGCGGAGTCCGTCATCCCGCCTCGCGGCCACCGTGACCATCCATCACTCCGAAGGCCGCTGTGTCGGACCAAGCGCCGCCGAGAGAGGCCAAAGCAAAGTGAGCATCCTCCATGTAGGGGCGCCAGCCTTGCATACCTTGGGGCGTGAAGCAAACAAGGAGAAGCAACAACAAATTCAGCCTTGCATGCCTTGGAGTTCTCCAAAATTCTCTTGAAATAGAAGCGTCATGAACCATCTCTTATCATTTCCTCAGTGAGAAGAAGATATTAAATCAGTCTTTTTGAGCTGGACATTTTTTCCGTTTCACATGAAACAGCCGAAGGGTTCGAAGGCAGTTGGATTGGCCATAAACATCACCTAGGGACCTGGCTAGTGGACATTTGTTTATCTCCAGGGCCCCACAGCCCCCAAGGGCCAGTCATTTTACCTTTAAAGCTCTCGGTGGTGGGAACCTCTTCCATACTTTTGCTGGATATCATTCGGGTGACCTCTCAAAAAAGGATATGAAAAGTTTCCTTCTCAACGAAAGAGGGTTGCTGCTGAACCCCCATCGCAGCTGTTTGGTCTCGCAAAATCCATCACCACTGTCCTTGAAGGTGCTGGCTTTGGCGGTACTTTGCCCCATGAAACGCCAGCGATGAATTACACATGGCAAAATTTTGTTGAATTCGAGCCAATGGCTGGCAAAGGTGGTGCCCAATTCCTGCCATGGCCTCCACGAAACACCACTCTGCGTCTCATTTCTTGAAAAGCATGTATTTCAAGGGTTTCGAGGGGCGAGTGCAGAAAAAAGTACCAGCCCAAGGCCCAAGGCCACACTCATTCGAACATGAGCATGTGGCGAACTCGAATCTTTGAGAGAACCTCCTGTTTTTTATGGGAAAGCATTGGCGGATGCCCAATGCACCTCGCGGATGCTCATCATAACCTAGCCCAATGGCGAAAAACGTGCTCCAGCTATCTCATGCCTTCGCTTGCCTTGGTCAAGAGAGTACTTATAGTGTACAATACGAGATGCAGCAAATATGGCTCCGGGCCATGGGCCCCCAAGCTCAGGGACGACCATTTGGCCAATTTTTTTGACCCTACTATACACATTGGCACCTGTTGAGTTCCATGTTAGTTGGTTGATGTTGAGCTGGCTGGATCACAGTCGTCCAGTGAAGGCTTCCCAGTCGTCATGTGCCCTGTGTTCCTTTTGATGACCCACGGCGCCGCAACTTCACAAACGAATTCAACCGATGCTTGCAGTCTGCGCTACAGCTGTGGGAGAGTTGCCATGTTCATTGGGCTTGGAGCACTTGATTCTAAATCTCTCGTTGTTTTTTCTCATCGCTGTTCTTTTTCCCAACAACGAGTGGCAAACCGTGAATCCCTGGCTCACCTCCCACTGTAGCACCCACAAGCTGCAAGCAGTCGGCCTCCCCTATTACCTATAGCACATTTGGGCACCACACCCACCCGAAACCAGCTGACCATGGCAGCGACACTCTTCGAAATCTGAGTCTACCTGAAGGATTCTTGATTCGAACCTCACGATGACCTCACGACCGTACACGAAAGGCGTGATGCGGTTGTGAAAAAGTTCTTTAGATCAAACGATTCGGATTCGATACGCCCCTTCACAATCTTCACAGGATCGGTCAGCCCATTCAGCCGAGGCGGATGGTCTCTGGCGCCTTGAAACCGTGCACGCAAGGCCGCCGCAGCGAAAAGGCCGCCAAACCGAAACCGGATCCAGTGGAGTCGTTGATGATGCGAAGGCGAAGGCAAAATGATCCAACAGATTCCAAATGTGAGAAGTGAGCCAGTTCTTGTTTTTTTCTCGCACTTCTGGGGCTTCTGAGGTTGGGACCTTTTGAAGGGAAAGTGGAACGCGAATCCATAAACCACATGGAAACTGTTTCGTGCAAACAGCTTCCTTTAAGAGGCCAAGCTAGTGGCTGCATCTTAGTCTGGGAATGGAAGACCTCCCAGTCAGCACATCAAAAAGCGGCCCTACCTACTCCTACCCCACAGCAATTAGAGAACACCAACCTAAGATCTACATGAAGATCATCATAAAGGCCGAAGAGTCAATAAGTCAGTCGATTTGACTCTCCACGGAGAGATCGTCTGCTCTCGCCCTTGCTCGTCTGCTCTCGCCCTCGCTGAGGGCGCCACGAGAACCTCATTTCCGGAGTTCACGGCCCGATGCCAGTCGTGGTATTCCAATCGGTCCTCCCACGTCCGACAGGCAATGCGTCACATCGGTAGCACATCGGTCTCCAGATAGTGGGCTGGATGACCCAAGAGTTTGGGCCCAGGAAAGGACATCGTTTCATATCGCTTCTGGCTCTGACAAAAGGGAAGGCATCGCGTTTCTTTTGGGAGGCCTCAGTGCCTCTGTCGGCTTATCTCGCCCTGCCCAACTCGAACAACTGCTTGACGTGTGGTCGGTCATGTCGAGCCGCGCTGCCGGAGCTGTACTTCTGGACAACCTGTACGCCAAGCAGAAGAAGACAGATCCCTAAGTTCGACTCTTCGCATTCGGCCAGCCGTGGGGCCCAAACATCGGGCCGGACCCAAACATGAACGGACACGAAGCAACACAAGCACTAACACAATAACATCCAACAGAAACCTGAAGACAAGCAATTGAACAAGAAAAGACAACACACCAAGAAGTGAAACTATAATTTATTCACCCATGATATAGTTTCATATGTCATCCTATATGATATTATATATATATATCATATATATTTATGTATACTTTCTTCGCCTATTGTCTCCCACCGATCCGATAGGCCTTTCAACCTTCCCGTTCCCTTCGATCCCCCATGGACCCGCCTCCAAGAGCAACTGCCGTGAGGACGTCTCACCCCTTGGCGCTTCCCGCGGTTCTCGGTGCACCTCCTTGGGCTCCCTGGGCTCCTCGTGGTTCGTGGTGGAAATCAAGCGGGGGCACAAAGGGAACGGACGGTGGGGTGGTTGGGTGGGCGATGATACTCGCTCCAGCTACTGGGCACACGAGCTTCTTGCCGTTTGTTTTCCTTGTAAGGCTACGCAATACGTGTACTAGCATGTACTAGCTAGCTGCTAGCTTCATCACGAAGTTGGGATTCGGATAGAGGATGCTAAAGTGCTCCAAGGACCTTGAGCAGCTTCACCACAGGTGTGACACCCACGCGATCGGGCGCCACGTTGCGTAGACCTCAAGCATTCATGTGTGGTACTGCTCAAATTCAAGCAGTTTTGTCATGAAACACCTGGTAAAACATGTGAAAGGCTATCCATCTTCCCGACCTTCCCTTTCGCGTATTTTCACACTTTTTCCTCTGAGTTTGGGGTCATGTTGAAGGGAGTCCAATTTGGGTGAAGCTTCCTTTCGTGCCAAAGTGAGCCCTTATGTGCTTTTGAGAAAACTCTCCTCAGTTGATGGCTCTGGTCTTTGGTCATCAGCATCTTCTTGAGCTTGGGAATTGGCTTGAAGTAATCATTCCTCAAGCAAAAAGCCAAGCAGGAGCGGCCACACGGCCACGGTCTCTACTTGGCCCTCCGACAAAGGAGATACAGTATTTCCAAGCAAGAAACGTAATTTCCCAACACCTCTTTCCTTTTCTCCTACCTCTGTCTCTTGTGTTTCTCTGAAACAAAACCGCCCCAAAACCTATGCCACAAGAAGAATCGGAGAACTCAACCCTAGGGCCCTAGGACTCTTCGGACTCCGACCCTCACCTGAGTCCAACACTTGTCTTCCGTCACCGCCTTCTCCCGATCGCGCCGCAGGTACTCCTCACCTCGGCCGGCATCGCAAGGGCCCCGCCGCGACGCGGCCGGACACCCGCGCGACCAGGCGTCCCAGGCGCAGCTTTTCTTCGGTCCTGGTGGTGCGGGGCCGCAGGTGTCTGTGGGGAGTCCACAGGCACCGTGTGGGTCAGTCTGACAGTCAGGAGTCATGAGATGTTGGCCAAATGCCTTATCACTCCATGAGGGGGGTCTTGTAGATTGATCCGTGAGAACGATCAATTCTGAGAAAAACACCATGGTCACTCGGCATTCGTTGTTTTGGTTCTAGCGATCTTATGCCAGTCGGATTTTTCTGTTTCGGGATTCTTTTGGCAGAACGACCGGCCACGGTCCCGCCTGGGAGAACCTTGCAACTTGGGAGATCTCGAGCGCTGCCACGAGCCGCGTGGCCGTGGCCTCGTGCTGGCACGGGAGTTCTGATATATATGCTTCAGCATGGCATGGCAAGCTCAAGGACACTTGTTTCCTCAAAGAAATGATCAAGGCCAGTCATGGCCAGGACACATGTTTCTTCATAACCTAAATGAAACATCATGAAGCCCAACATGCCCAACCAAATCTGCCAGTCTTTTTGATCCTGAGCACATCGCTCCTGAAGGCGCACCAGCCCACAAGGTACTTCCTCCTGTGAACCGTCCTCCAGCTGAACGTCCACGACGAGCGAACGGCCCATCACACCTCGGTCCAAGCAAGAGCGTCTTTTCTTCTTCGACTCACATGGACAGTTCCATGGGGCTCTACAGGTGGTGACTCCACTACAACATTACATGGAAGTCACATGGAAGTCTATTGCCTCTGGAACTCACATGGAAGTGGAGTTCACCACCTGTATGTCGCGGAAAATATGGTCTTCCAAGGGGCCATGCCATCCATGTAACCATGTTCGTTCCCACAAATTGTAATCTTAGCAACAAATGCCAAATGGATTGCATACAGAAGGGTCAGTCACTGGGCAGAACGATGGCATGTGTTTCCTCAAGGTGCTCAAGGAAATTCCATTTGGAGGCATACTGGCGTCACACGCCGGATTCCCACCTCGCTTCAGGGCTTCTGAGGCATCCGCATGAAGAAAGCACCTGTGCATAGTGCCAGGTCCTGGCACACCCGACCCGGAGGCCCCAGTCGCGACCGGCCGCCACAAGCGAGCAGGGCAGCACGTGCCCCGCAGCACCCGCACACGGGCACCGATGAGGCGATGCTGATCGAAGCGGCAGCGGTGCTTGGAATAGGCCTGGGCGAAAACGCCACGATGGGATGCCTGAAAACTGCGCGGAACGTGGATGCCTGAAGCATCATATTGAAGCTACGTGACATACTGTATGAAGAGCAGCATGCCAGTATTGTACTAGGTAGGGATTGTTCCATTATCCAGTTCCTGGCCCACCCTTACAACGAAAGGTGATGTTGAAAAACACCAAGCATGACGACATCCATTGCTGAGCCATGCTGAGTCCCAGAGAATCTCAAGTGGAAGACCGGTGGAGCATCATTGAAATGACCACAACAGTTGTTCTTTAGAGCAAGCTGGCTCGGCTTGGCACCTGTGCCAACTGCACAGGTATGGTATACGCTCGTTTGGACCCAAAGCTGGACATCAGACATCAGACAAGGAGCATTGAAGACATCAGAAGGTTTGATCTCGGGAGGCCTCGGGAGCCTGTGCCCTGACTCTTCTACTCTTTTCATGCCTTTCAAAGGTCTACGCCACGCCGCTACGCCGCGCTCCGCATCGCTCCGCATCGCTTCTCCGGCACCCGCTTTTCCTAGCGCGCCTGGCGAAGCTCCGGCAGCTGAACCAATTCCAAGGCCATCTCCCTCTTCAAGCCTCGGAGCCGCGCCATTCACGGAGGCGCGACGTGAACGGCAGGGCGGCTGAGGATGGACCCAAGGGCAAACGTGGCAGCACCGTGTCGTAGTACCTGTCGGTGCCGCTCAGCGGCTCGGACATGTGGCAAGGACGTGGGGGCGAAGTGGCGGCGAAGCGGAGTCTTCTCCAAGTTGAAGCACTTGATCTTGGAATCAGTTTTTCTGGTCGAATTCACCTGGTGAATTCGAAGATCGAGAATGGAGCCTCAAAAAATATGAGTTATTGCACCCCCAAATGCGCAGATTCCACCTGAGTTCGTGCCTGAGAGCTTGGAGTTCTGAGCTTAGAAAGGCCAAGGGGAGAAGAAAGGTCTGGACCAGTATGCACATTCAGATTCATGTGAATCATCGGTCATGCGACGCGAATTCCACCAAACACTGACCGGTGAAACTGCACATGCTTCGCACCCACCGGTGAAACCTGATCCACCGAGCTGTTGGGCTCGTTTTGGTTCTACCAAACCGTCGCTGTTTTCGGTCGCGAACGCGCGTAAAGGAACGTGCAGCGAGACAGGTCAGCTCTGAGATGCCGTGACGGACCCCCCCTCACGAAAGGACATCACAGCACCATCCCATCCGGAAGGTGCTTGTCATCTGTCAGCAAATGCTCCACCCAGTCGCCCATGGACATCGGAACCTCAGCACGGTCGAGCTGGTTCCAGACAGTGGACGTCTCCACCGATCCGCTGGGGCAAAGCCCGAGCCCGAGCAGTTTGGACCTCCACGCTCTGCGCAGGGTCCGAAGGAACAGTTCGCCGCTGGCGTCGCCGCTCCGCTCTCCACGCGCCGAAGAACCAGTGGGGCTCGCGCCGAGGTAGGGCCGCCGGTTGGCCTGGTGTGACCAGGAAGGCTCACTCGCGTAACGGAGTTCACGTTGGTGGGTTCAGTTCCGGACTTCGTGGGTTCCGGCGGGGGCGGTCGCGATAGAGCACTTCGCTGAACAAAGGGGCACCGTGGAACATTTCATGTGGCATGTTCTCTGGAGTGTGGCTGCATCTTCTTGATTCTCGCTGGAGGTCGACTGCAAGTGGAACAAGTGGAGGATGGCCAGTGGAGCCGCTGGCCGTCCTAGCTGTGTTTAGTGGAAGTAGGTGCGAACGCGTGACGCTTTGCTTGTGGAGCACGGCGAGTATTTTCCTTCAAGTCACAGCTAGTCCAATTGCTCCTCTGACCCATTTTTGGAAGACCTTGCAGGACATACTTGCCTCATATATCCAATGATAAGCCGTCCTGACCCGGAATCGCCCAAACGAAGTGTCGAGATTCGATTTCTGAGCTGCTTTTGGGATCTTTTGGGTACGCCCTACCAGGGCCCATCGATCTATACTCTAGATTCCAGGCCTTTCACCCCCAAAAGAGTGATCATCTTTGACCTAAACTGCAGTGGTCTACTGGGACCACACGAGCTTCTCCAGTCGATCCTTGGAGACTCTCACCCTCCAGCGCCTGAAGACCTCGGTGTCGAAGAGGAAGTTTCGCAGCCAACGCCAGGCCTCTGTGGGCCTCGGCGGCGGACGGTCCCCCGACCCGGTTGGGTGGGAAGAAGCTCTGTCAGTCTTGGGGGGCAGACATGTGAGCGAATGAGCTGGCAAGCCTTTGGTGATCTTTGGAGGTTGGATGATGCTCCAGTGCTGGTGGGTGGCTTTTTCGCTCGAAGCTCTGGCAATTCCTTGCAGGTCTTCGTGGCATTGGGGGGAAGCAGCATGGCTCTACACAGAAACTAGCAGTTTCTTAAAAAAAGGCTGCTCCAGCACGGTCAGTCAACCACTCACCGCATCAGAAGAGCATCCATTAGGATCTTGAGAAATTTGAGCCACCTCTGCTAACAAATGGAGCAAAGGGCCTCTTCACGCCGAAGTGTAGTCTTTGACATGACACTGAGCGCCTTCCGCCGAGCAAGCAGCAATCACAAAGCCTTCCATACCGATTTTCGCAATGCAGTCCAGCATGCCAAGCAAGGCATCTTCGACTCCTTTGGAGATCAAGCCTGCATGAGCACGGCCCAAAATGACTACAATGGGATAGCCAGTCCATGAGACAATCGTCAACCATTCAAGCTGACTGAAGAGCTGTTGCACATCCGGTGGTCGCTTCTTCACCGTTCCATTGGCGACGCCCACCTGAAGGGCTGCGATCATGAGGCCAAAGAAGAGCAAAGAGATACCGCACCAAAAGATCTTCAATCCCACCTTCGCTTTGGGCACGATCACTGCACTCACGATGCCTCCCATCAGCATCATGAGATCGCTACCAATGACCATGAAGAAGGTATGCTTCTCGGCTCCACCTATCATGCAAAGTTCAAAGAGCATCAATGGAGTGGTGGCCACCCAATCGATGTATCTGATAATTGGCACCTTCCGACCTGCAATCGTGGCCTCGCCCATGCCAGTGACCTCAGCTGAGATAAATTCACCGAAATAAATTATCATATATTATCATCCAAGAGCCACACCACGGGTGGATGATGGATGGTATAAGACCTTCTTGATCCCTGTTCCATCCTGTTCCCCCTAAACCGGAATTAGTCACTTCCTCCGTCTCTTTCCTCCCACCCGTTCAACCGCCTGGGTCGAACAGGAAACACCGTGTTAACATTCACGAGTTTGTCGCGGGACCTTGGCGAAGTAGGCCAGTGAGGCAATGGTGACCACAAAGAAGGTGACGACATAATCCTCGGGATGCTCCTGAGTGATCCAAAGAATGAGCAACAGCAAGGAGGCCAGGGAGAACAAGATGTGCACCACCCAGGCAACCCAGTGGGAGAACTTGTAGCTCCACCTCAAGTTCGCAAGCTTTGCTGAGGGCTTTGGCTCAAAAGAAGCTCACTCAAAATCACTTGGCTCTGTTTGAGACTTCATCACCAGATCTGGTGATCGAACAAACATGTCAACTGGACTGACCCAGAAAAGGAATCAAACATGTTCTTCCGAAGGTTCATGTAGACTCTTGATAAAATTTCCTTTCCCCCTCCCAGGAGGAAGCGAAATCACCTGGTGAAACACTCCACGTTGTTCTTGGGGGGGCGGGTGATCCTCAAGAGCCTACATGACTTCCAGAAAAGAACAACAAACATCATCCAGGAGTCACATGCCGGGGTGGTTTTGAGTCCCATCCAGTGAGCGGAATGTTCGGCACTCAGCACCCTGTCCTCCTTCCTCCCTTCGTTCGGCACCCCCGAATCCGTTCGTGTGACTCCTGGATGTTTAAACCAAAACCTTTCTTTTCGCCGCCGATCCACCACTCATATTGCCCGTTCTTGACCGCCTCTTGTCGATCCTCAACGACTTGTCCCAAATAATTGCTGGCCTTGCGCATGAGGTGCTTCTCGGAGGTCTCGGCGTGCGGGACTTCCGGGTCTTCGGTGAAGGGATACACAGAGTCCATCTTCGACATCTTCCCCAGCCGAGGAAAAGGGTTCTTCTGGAGCGGGAACCTCCTGTGTCAAAGCAGCGGAAGCGGGCAGAGTGCTGGCCTAGACTTTGCGGGAAAAGTGGTGGAAACTGAACTGACTACTGTGGATAGAAAGTGTTGAGCCAAAGTGGCGAATTACAAGCAAGGCTGTGACACCTGTGATCAAGCACGGCAGAAACATGTGAAAAGAGCTGTAGCTAGAGGTTGCTTCACAGGTTCAACCTGAATTCCAAACACACACGTTTCACATCGGCTTCCCATCTAGGTTCACAAAAGCAATCTCCAAGGTGTCTGCAAGATGTGCAATGCAAACGTTCACCCCAAAAAACGGGTGGTGTGTTGAATCTGCGCGGCATCTATTTCTTAGGGCACCCGATTCTAGCACTGGGCTGCTCTGGCGGGCAGTTGAAGCGGAGGTGCAGCAGCGCGACCTGTTTCGCCGGTCTGGGTTTCACACTTGGACCCAACGTTGTGGCCTTCCAGTCGAAGTGGAAGGTCTCTTCTTTCAGAGTCTCACTGCCCTCGCCGAGTCTTCCGTTTCACATCGTTCCGTTTCCTCGCCCCACCCGCCCCTGACCCGCCCCTCTCCAAGTCCCCAGGCCGCGCGCACGTAGGCCGAGCCCGTGCGTGCAGCGGCTCGGAAGCCGACGAGGTCGCGCAACTGATCCTTCGAAGGCCTGGGCTCCGGGCTCCGGGCGGTGGCGCTTCCGGTGGTAGGATCTGGTAGGTGTAGGGTTCAGGCCACAATCCAAACAGCCTAGGATGCCATATGCAACAGTATATATATATATATATATATTTATGTACCCAGAAGCCAAAAAGATCCCAAGAGCGCAAAAAGCTGCAGGCAGGCTTTTTCCAATGAGCTTTGGTTGATGCTGGGGTCCTCCCCCAGACCCTGTATCGTTTGATCCATTTCAAACTGCCCCGGACTTCGCCAGGGGGACAAGGGTGTGTCAGGCAGTAGGATTCGCCCGTCTCTGCCGCAACACCCGAATGTCCCCTGGCCTCCCAGGGCCAACAGGCACCTGTCGAGGTGCCAGGGGACAGGGTCGGGAGGACAGCCCACCGGATCCGGTCACGGGATCTTGGGTGGGCAGCTAGGAAAAGCCGGTTGAGGACAAAAGTTTTGAAACAAAAGGAAAAACGAAGAGAGTCTCCGGTGCCGGTAGCCGGCGATCTAAGGAGAATCCTTCAAAATCAGGATGGGTCAATTCATCCGCCCAGGTGTTGAATTCCCGGGGGATGTGATTGGGAGCGATGCTACAGCCCTCACGACGAAGGAAGAGAACCAATTCCATGAGGAGTGCCGCAGAGTATGGTTTCTTGGCCGAGAGGTTGAGTAGGCTGAAGATGTTGCCTGAGTTATCACTGCCCACCGGGAGGCGAACTCTCCCCGGCATTTGGCCCTGTTGGGCCACCAGGTGCTTGCAAAGAAGCAGTGTGCCCAGGAGTTCCAGGGCAGCGATGCGTTTCTGAGGGTTGCCATCCTTGAACGCCCAAGGGTGGGCGTCAGCTGTAATAGCATAGTGGAACCATAGGACCTGGTCCTTGGTGGGGTTTGGGGAGGTCGAGCACCAACCCCCAACATAGGCTTCACCCGTTTTGGATGCACTAGCATCACTGCATCCCCACCAAGGCGACTTCGGCAAGAAAGGTGAGTACTGTTCAAAGGGGTGCGTGAAGAGCTCCCTCAGGAGGGCGGCCAGCATTCGGACCACCTTTGGTGGGTGGCCCATAGTTTTGACCGCCATCTTCCAAGCCCAGAGTGGCTGGAGCAGGGACTTGGTCAGAGGACAGCACGCCGTGGCCCACTGGATCCGTCCCATGGCCTTCTCAATGGCCTTGGCTGACATGGGGGATCCATTGGCGAGTTCTTCCAGGAGCTCCATGACCTTGATGTGCTTGGGTGCCGCCATCTGGACTCGAGGAATGGACGGGTGGATCACGAACCCAAGCCATGTATTGATCTCTGCCAAATGGGTCTTCTTCCAGCTAAGGGGCGTGCCCAAAGCCACCAATGTACCCAAGAGGGCCGCAGTGAATTGCGGTCCTGTGGGCAGGTGAAGGAGCCAGCAAAAGTCATCAACGAAGACAAAGCCCCAGTCAATCTGAGGGAAGAGGTAGTAGAGGATCCGCAGGAGCAAAGCCGCCATTCTGCCCCAGTAGAGCTGAGCACTTGCCATGCCGTAGGTGCCCACCTTGTTGACCCACCATTCGTCGTCCAGTTGTGCGACCTGGAAACGCCAGTCTTGGGGCAAGACTTTGATCCGTCGGTGGGCCTTAGTGACGTCAGCTTTCAGCAAGATCCATTGGCTGTCCTTGGTGCTCCTGGGTTAAGCCGGGGGCGTGTGGAAGCCTCAGTATGTCTTGCGGCGTGGAGCCAGTGGATAGCATGGACACAGTCCAGGACTGTGGGTGCTGTGGTCCGTTCCTTAGTGTTTTGTTGGATCTTGGCATTGGCGCCTCCCACCGATCCATCGTAGATGGTACGGACCTTGTCCCCTTCGTCGATCCCCGCCAAGGGGCCCGGGCAGAGGGCTGTCGGGTCACAGCCGCAGAGATCGGCCGCCTGTTGTTTGGACAGCGGGCCAAGTGTCATGCCCATTGGGACTTCTTCCTCAAAGGTGGCCCGAATTTCTCTGGAAAAGTCTGCAGCCGAGGGGTAATTGTGGTGTCCCTTGGGGTCATCCAGTGGCGCTTCAACTGGGTCTTCCCCTGCAAGCTCACTCTTGAGAGGCACTGGCCTCGGGGCGTTGGGCTTGGGGAACCAGCGAAGAATGCTCCAGGTGCGGCAGTTTGGGCCGCCCCCCACGAATAACAGTAGCCCCGCAGCAGCAAGGGAGCACAGATGGTTCCAAAGTGTGGCCTGGAGCATATCCTGGCCAAGGGGCCCCTTGTCTCTTCGAATGTCGATCGCCCAAACCAGTGGTGAGAGGTCTGGGCACGTGGCATGGAGGTAGGAGTCCAACGAGCCCGCATCATCCTTGCCGGCATAGAGAAGGAGAATGGTTGGTTTCGCCTCTCGTGGAAGTGGGACCCGTGCAGCAGTGGAGACGCCGCCGTAGTCTGTCCGGGATGTCACCTAGAGGCGGCCTCAGTGTGGGTAGGTGACTCTGGAGGATGCCTTAGTGGGGGCATCTGGATCTGGTGTTCTCGTGGGGGTTTGCCCGGTCCCCCCGCAGCGGGTCGGGGCTTTGGTACGCTGGGAGGTGGTGTAGGAGGTACAGGGCCCAAGGCGCCTGGACCGTGCCCAACCTCCCATTGGGAGTCAAAAAGAAAGAAATCACATGGGAGACAAATGAATAGAAATGCTACATGGCCAGCGGAAAAGGGCGGCAGCCCACTTGCGGTACCTCGGAGGACGCAGGTGGAGCAGGGCCACGGGCACCTGGACCAACCTGGCGTCACTTGGTGGCATGGGGGCATTCATCCGGGGCGTTGCTTGTCTGGGGACGCGTTGCACACCCAACCCCCTTTGCGGACCGGGCAATTGTGGGATCTGCCGCAGCTGCCCGGGCAGGTGCTGGTCAAGTGATAGTCTCTGCAGAAGGCTTTCCCTTTTGGGTCCTTGAATGCCCAGGCGTCCGGCCACTGGCCCTTGCCTTTGCCCTTCTGAGCCTTTCCTTTTCCCCCCTTCGGTGCTGGTCTTGCCCCCTTGCGGCCACGATCTTTGCCGCCTTTGGACGACTTGTCTCAGTGGGTCTGCCAGACCGGGGCCAGGACTTGCCTCTGGTCTTGCCTAGCCCCTTCGTTGCCGTTCGAGGGGCACTGTTGCAGTATTCATGCACCTCCCTCTGCCAGAAGAGGTGGTCATGACGGAGCTTGGAAAGGGCCTCAGTGAGTGGTGTACCTGAGTGGACCAGGTCATGAATCTTGCGCCATGCGTTGCGCTCGGCAAACTGATGTCTTCCCCATAGAACCACTCATACCACTCGTCCAGGGTCTCCTTGGACAGGCGCAGGTGGGCGAATTGTGGCTGGCCTGCGATACACATCAGCAGGGTGGTCCTGAACACCGTGTGCATTCTCTCCAGCTGTCGTCGAGTCCGGGGGTCTGGTCGGGTCTCTTCTTCATCCGCCCGGTCCCATCCATCCACCGACACTTTTCGTGTGGTCTTGACGGGGCGTTCCCCGTCCTCCGGAAGGGCCCCGACAATGTGCTTGGCGTTTGAGGTAGGCATCACTGCCCTGGGCTTCCAGCCTTGGTTTGAGGCAGCCGTAAGCCTCAGCATAGGCTGTTTCCAGGACCCTCCGGTCGCAGAGGCTGTCCAAGGGGCCTTTGGCTGTACCTGGGGGTTCAGTGGTGGTAGCTCGACCAATATGAAGTTGCGTCTGGGCCATGGACTTGGCGGCCCGGACCGCCTGTAGCAGGCGCATGGCAGTGAACCTGGAGGAGGCTTCATCAAAGTTGTTCTCCCCGTTCCGGAACTCCAGGTCCCGGGGCCCTTGGGCCCGTGCGTCCTCCGGGGTGTTCCAACCGTCCCCTACATCCTCCACTGTCACATATCCCTCCTGGGCCAGTTTGGCCTGAACCAATGAGGGGATCTGTTTGGCAACCAGTATGAGAGCAAGCGGCTTCGTCAAGACATCAAGATGTGGTTGGAGGGCCTCCGGTGCCTCCGTTGAGGGTTTGGCCGGTTCGATTGGGGGGGCGCCCCCTGCCCCTCCCCCACCACGTGCACCGCCGTGGGGTGCAGCCATCAAGGGTGGGTCGGGTGGGTTTTCTTCCCAACCTTCAGGTGCAATCCTGCGTGCGATTGCTACCAACTTGAGCCAAAATGTCCCGGTGGGACATTTTGTGAACTTCAGTGAACATAAAACTTGCATCCGCAAGCTCCCTGCAAGTGTGAATATGTACCCAGAAGTCAAAAAGATCCCAAGAGCGCAAAAAGCTGCAGGCAGGCTTTTTCCAATGAGCTTTGGTTGATGCTGGGGTCCTCCCCCAGACCCTGTATCGTTTGATCCATTTCAAACTGCCCTGGACTTCGCCAGGGGGACAAGGGTGTGTCAGGCAGTAGGATTCGCCCAGTCCGGAGGTCTGCCTGGCACACCCGCCATTTCCGTAGGATGCAGGCAGGCGAGGTGTGTGGCCTGGGTCCCAGCCCCTTCCCTGACACCATTATTCCAGGGCCAAGGGGCACCTGGCCGTGGGTCAAGGCTAAGAGATGGTCGAAAACAAAGCACCTCAGATGGATTCCACTGGGAGCACCTTCGGTAGCGGTACCGCATCCGCTTCCGATTGGGTGTCGACGGAGTCATCCGTCTCTGAGCCCGACGTGGCCGAGCTTTCCGTGTCCACCTCAAGATCAGGGATGTCCTTCCCCTTCCCCTCCACTGTGCCATGCCGGCTCACAAACCACGATTTGGGGAGGTCACCCTTGGCAAAGCACCGCGTGCACTTGCCGTAGCCCGTGGGGTTGGCCCAGTACTCCCCGGGAGTCAGCACTGTCATCTGGGTGCTTTTGGGGCGCCAGCCACAGCCCAAGCAGAACCCCTCCACAGTGAGGAGGTGTACACGGAATTGCTTCTCTGGGCCCCGTACCGTGTTCGAGCTGATCACCTGGTAGGAGTAGTCCTGCCTCCGGGAGCGGATCAGGGGCCTGAGCAAGGTAGTGGCCTAAACCATTGTCTGCTCCTTCCACGATATCCCACGAGTCAGTGGTGCCCGGGGTCAC